GAGGACAGCAGGACAGTGCTGAGATGTGCTGTAGGAGTGACAGATAGCTTCAAGGTGGAGGTGGGATTGCATCAAGGATCAGCTCTGAGCCCCTTCTTGTTTGCTCTGGTGATGGACTGACTGATGAGGTCAGACAAGAATCCCCATGGATGATGATGTTTGCAGATGACATTGTGATCTGTGGTGAGAACAGGGAACAGGTTGAAGAGACCTTGGAGACGTGGAGGTATGCACTTGAAAGAAGAAGAATGAAAGTCAGCCGTAGTAAGACAGAGTCCATGTGTGTAAATGAGAGGGAGGAGGTAGAACAGTGAGGCTACAAGGAGCAGAGGTCACAAAGGTGCAGGACTTTAAGTACTTGGGGTCCACTGTCCAAGAAAAAGGGAAATGTGGTAAAGAGGTGAAGAAGAGAGTCCAGGCAAGATGGAGTGGATGGAGAAAAGTTTCAGGAGTGATTTGTGACAAAAGGGTGTCAGCAAAGGTCAAAGGAAAAGTTTACAAGACAGTGGTGAGACCATGTTGTATGGTCTGGAAACAGTGGCATTGACAAAAAGACAGGAGAAAGAACTGGACGTGGCAGAAATGAAGATGCTAAGGTTCTCCTTAGGAGTGACAAGGCTGGATAAGATTAGGAATGAGATAATCAGAGGTACAGCACAGGCTGAACAACTGGGAGATAAAGTTAGGGAGGCCAGACTGAGATGGTTTGGACATGTCAAGAGGAGGGACCATGGGTATATTGGTAGAAGGATGTTAGAAATGCAGCTGCCAGGAAAAAGACAAAAAGGAAGGCCAAAGAAGAGATATATGGATGCAGTTAGAGGGGACATGAAGGTAGTTGGAGTGAGGACAGAGCATGCAGAGGACAGAGTGAGGTGGTGGAGGATAACTTGCTGTGGCGACCCCTGAAGAGGGAAAAGCCGAAAGAAGAAGAGGAAGAAGTTTTTCTTAGTTCATATCTTGAATCTTATTACAGTTTTTCATTGACATTTTATTGATGGATGTAACTGGGACCCTGTGTACAAAATTTAGTTCCACCACATGTTCCACTTGCGGTGCGAACAACAAAAATGAAACGGACTCTGAATACTACAAAAAAGGGCAAGAATTTAAACACTTGCTTTTCTCAAGGGCGGGCGTCTACTCCTCTCCCTCTCCACTTTGCTTTTCCTCTGTCCTGTCTGTGAAACTGCCTTAGAGCCTCTCTCCTACAAATCTTGTGAATCATAACTATGGACTTGGATTTGGTCAGATGGTCCCTCAATACAATTGATATTTCCTTGAAAAGAAGACAAGCTTTAGGCGAGCCGATTTGACCTGTTGGCACGCACACAGCTGAATATCTCAACGACCTTGAAGACTTGACGTGTATCTCTGCTGTCATGCGTGGATTTTAAGGACGCATTTATAATTGGATTTAAGATAACTGGTTCCTGCTTTTTGGATTTGGCTGGTTCCTGGACTATCAACAAACAAGGAAGTCGTCAGCAGCAAATCTGGACCTGGTCAGGCTGTCTGCCTTATATGATGGCTTGGTTCGTGCCTTGAGCACCCAGACTCTTGACAGAATGGATCAGATCTCGGGGATTATTCTCAGGCACGTTCCATTGGAATAGTCATTTAATTTGGACGTTTCAGAACCGTGTGGACTGACACAGACTCAAGGTAGGTGTCATTAAGTTCTTCCTGTCCCCAAAACAATCGTGTTTATCTGAATTCAGCTCCCTGACAGGCCTTGACAGGCTATCTTATCTCAACCTGTCTGGAAGTTTTGTAAACCTGATGCTCAGCCCCTCCCTCCCTTACTACTGAGGAATTTTCATGGACTTTTCAGCGGAGCCCAGCTGAATAAACAATCTGTCATCATTTCAATTCAATTCAATTCAATTCAGTTTATTTATATAGTGCCAAATCACAACAAAGTTGTCTCAGGGCACTTTACAGGAACATTCACATACATAAAAGCCAATTAGTAAAGTTCTCTATCTAAGGAATCCAGCAGACAGGTTGAATCTTGGCTTTGTTGCCGTCTCCCATCCTGAGCAAGCACAATGGCAACAGTGGAAAGGAAAAACTCCCTTTTAAAAGGAAGAAACCTCCAGCAGAACCCGACTCAGGACAAGCGGCCATCTGCTTTGACCGGCTGGTTTGAGAGGACAGGAAGGAGGGACATGCAAATAACCTCGTTGTGTGTGGGCACCACCTCTTCTTAGAGAAAAAAAAAATCAGTCTCTAGCCCCAAATTAAAAGTAAACTGAAATGTGAATTATTTTCTCGTGTTTAAAGGGCATCAAATCAGTTAATACACACAGATATGTTAAAATAATCACAAATTCAGTTGATTTTATGTATTTTATTATAAAAATAATAATCTGTGATATATGTGATGATAAATTATGCATAACAAACAAATGAATAACAAATAGCTTTGTATCAAAGATCTAATTGATTATTCAAATCAGTGAAACTTAAAAAGGCAGATTTTGGACTGGTTCTGTTTGTGGAGTTGTTGAAATTGTGTCTAAAGTGAGCTGTAGTTTGTCTGATAAGATTATTGTGATGTATGATCACCAGAAAGTGCATTGAAGAGTCTCTCTCACCAGAACGAGATGTCAGAATGTTCCACAGCTGCTTAAAATGATACCAGCAAGGCCTGAGATGCTCCGGTGACTAAGAGGCTGATTTTTCCTCAAAAGTCACCGATCATTGATTGGAGGGACGAAGGTCCAGCCACTGGCTCTGAAGTCAGCTGGGATTTACCACTCTGCGGTGTGATGGTTCTGGTTTGGTCAGGTTCTGCAGAGTTTCTTCCGTACCTTTTGTCCCGTCTCTGTGCAGAAAAGACGCTTCTCTCCTCTCTGAGTTCAATGCAGAAAACTGGGTTTCTTCAGTTCCGATCTCCAGAAGCATGTAGCAGAAGTTAAGTAGATGTGCTTGTAGAAGTAGTCGAAGAGAAAATAAATGTCTCAGTTTCTCTGATACTCCCTCAACATACAGAATGACCACTGGTCTGGGTCTGGGTTCCTCCTTTTCACCTGTTGGCTGACTGGAGTCCTGTTTGGGTTTCTTCTCTGCTTTCAGGAAGGCCCAGTTAGGATATCCACATTGCTCTAGAGCCTGTTTGTTTTTTGAACGTCCAGAGGACCAGATTTAACTTTTTTAGATTTTTCTACCTGGATTATTGAGCATGCATCAGGATACAAAGAAAATATGTTCTTGTTATTAGTATTTCACCCTGTTTTACGGCACCCTGATTTAATACAGATCATTTTGAGCTCTTTCAAAGTTTCTAGTAGAAATGTTGTGTCGCTCACCGACCAGTTTTGCTTCCCTGACATGCTAATATTATTAGCATTAGCCAGGCGGAAATGGTAAAGTCGCACATGCGCAGTCAGGTCAGTTTTTCACCATCAGATAAAAACGAATAGATCAAGTGTTTACATGTTCAGGTTATGAATCGGCATAAACCACCCGTTTCATTCTGATCACAAATTATTTTGGATCACGCTGAATAAACAAACAAAAAAAAACCGAACAGGGTGTTTACATGACGTGTTTTTATTCTGAATGGCTGTTTGATCCGGTTACTTATGTCCATGTAAACATAGACACTGAAGGAAAAGAAGGAGGGGTGGCATTAAGGTGACTGGGAGGAAAAAACTGGCAGATTTATTAACTGTAGGCAGAGTATAGGACTATATCGTTTTATATCGATATACCGTATTTTCCAGTGGACACGTCACTCCGCCCTACAAGTCGCATCAGTCCACATTTATCTAATAAAATGTAAAAATCCATAAATATGTCGCTTTGCCTTATACGTCGCATCTATTATGCGTTATCGCTGACGTGTCGGTTTTGTTACGCGTCACCGCCGACAATCCAGAAATGTGGACTGGTGTTGTGCCAAAAACCAATGGGCTGCCAAATGGCGGCTGCGGGAGCATGCATGGGAGGACATTAACAAGAATTTAACTAGATTAACACTTAAAAACAATTATTTGTTTGCTCGAAATTATAGTAAATGTGTGTCTCAGTCTAACTTTTGCTTAATAAATGTCCTTTAATGGTCAAATCAGCTTTATTTAAAAAAATAGTTTAGCTACCTCAGTGCTCCATGAACGCACAGGGGACGAGAAAAAGGGAGGAGGAACAGCTCGTTTCTCTGAAATTTAACAAGAAAAGCACCTAAACAATTCTTTGCTTGCTCGAAATTATAGCAAAGGTGTGTCTCAGTCTAACATTTGCTCAGTAAATGCACTTTAATGGTCAAATCAGCTGCATTTCATCAGGGTGGTGCAACTGTTTTGACGGTTCTGAGCAGAGAGCAGAATGAAGGTGGTGAGTCTATGTATAGCAAACCGATTGAGTCATTAATAGCTGTTGAAGATTCTAAGTCATCCAGGACATGGTCAAATCTAAAAAGTTCAAGAAAAAAAAAATCAAGTATAAAGTAAAATATAATAAATAAAGTCCAGTTGTTTTTGTCTTGAAATTTTTTGAATTTGTCATTATAGCCACGTTTACCTGTTACATGATACAACAGCATGCCATACACTATTACTACTCTGCTCCCATGAAGTGGCTGAAAGTGGTACTGCTTAATTTAAATTTTTTTTTCAGTAAGAATTAATGGATACGGTCATATCAGCCAAAAAATGATTTATAAACATGGGAAAAAAATCCATAAATAAGACGCTACGGCCTATAAGTCGCAGGGCATGTAAATTATGCAAAAAACTGCAACTTGTAAGCCAAAAAATACGGTAGTCTCATTTTATGTCGTGAATTAAATTATATTGATATTTTAAAAATATCGATATATCGCCAAGCCCTACCAAAAACATATTGTGATATATATCATTACCACCACCCATCACAATACATATCGTGATGTGAACTTTATGCCATATCGCTCATCCTTATTTTGAATCCTTTTTAATCATTTTGTGACTAATCTGCTGTTTAATTTGCATCTATTAGAAAATCAGCACACAAACCTCAAAGAGCGCAGCATCCTGTAGGGTTTCCCCAAATCAGACACTCTCCTGCATAGAGGAGCCACGGCCATTTCCATCTGTACAGAAACACACACATTCAGACAAATGGAAGATCTGAACAAGGCTAGAGCTTCAGACCTGAGCAGCTTCTCACCTGAGCAAAGTCAGCAGCCAGCCTCATCTTTCCACCTTCTCCCAACGGTCGCAGCAGGCTGGTGTGGCGAAGGAACAGCTCAATGGCTCTCTGGGCGATAAACTCAGTCCTGTCATAGATGAAGTCCGCACACTGAAACTGTCTGAAATAGTCGGTCATGACTCTGGAGATGAAACCCTGCAGCTCCTTCATATATAGGGAGCACGGGGTGTCTGGTTTCTCAGGGCTGGACACAGGCCTGTAACACACACACAATTATATTACAGGAGAAGAACGACCCTAAGAAAAATTCACTTCACAGTGTTGCCGTCTTACATCTATCCCATCCGTTTTCATCCAACTGTGGCTCCAAGTAGATAACTTCTATTAAACTGGAAAATTTTCTTAAATGATTTGGAAAACTTGGTAAATGTATTTTGATTTTCCCTCTGGGATCATTTAAGTTTATCATTAATGCTTATCTATCTAAATGGACAAGTCTGGAACCAATTAAATTATTTCCTTTTACAAAACCTAAAACTTTAATTTTGACATGTGGATTGAAAATGTAATGTAAGGTTGCTGATAAACTGTTCTAAAAAGTGTACAATTTAAAAACGCAAAGGTTTAAGACAATTGTTAAGAGGCCCAGAATTGGAAACTAAAAGCAGAATGTTCCTACACAAGCTGTGTAGAGGCCAGACCCAGTTAGTCCTGCTCTTGAGGGCCTCACAACTGGACAACACCAGGTACTGACCACACTCCAAGATGGACCTGATATATATCCTCTTGGAGCTCAACTTGTGTTAACCAGGTCTGTTACTCCTTTCAAGAGGATGAATATTTTTTGAGCCCCTGTACCTGCAGAGAGACAAGTGTGGCAACAAGATTCTAAACCATTTCCTTAGTAACTCATGTGCCTATTTCAGGCCACAGTTTGCTACCTGAAACAAGGAACAAAAGACATCAATACCAATCCGAAACAATCATAGATGCTCACGTGGAATTGTTGCAGAAGAACACTGACCCACAGTGGTTCTGAAGTTGGGATAGGAAGCCTGGAAGAAAACTGAATCTTACCCTGAGAAGTCTTCCTGGTGCAGCGTGATGATAATGGCTTCGATAGAGTCGCTGACAGATTGAATAAGAGGCTGTACTGCGTTACTCATCAACGCCTGCACTCCCTGTGGTCAAAACAGGGACAGGTACAGTAAGCAGAGCAAACGCTGATGTAAAAACAATTTCTGGGCCATGGCTTGGCTCTCAGAGGCTTCTGGTACACACAACAACACATGCAGTAGCCCACCCAGTAACACAGTAATCTTGAACTAACAGTAATCTGCATAGTATCTCACATAGTAATTCACTAATTTATATATGGCTGTCATCAGACTTTAGTGTACACACGCTATGTCCTGATGTGACCAACATCCTCTAAAAATGTGACATCACACTCAGCACGCTGTGTTTACAAAATATATATGAATGGGTACACAGTGTGTGTCAGTTCTGAATTTGATTTTAACATTTAGAGCTGATAAAATTATCTGACATGATTGTTGATTGTGGGCTGAGATGGTGTAGAGGTAGGGCAGTCGACTTGACATCAGAAAGTTGCGGTTTGACTCCTCGCCATGCCCACATGTCGTGGTGTCTCTGAGCAAGACACCTAATCTCCAATTGCTCCCCGGGTGCTTACACAGCTGACCACTGCTCCACCTGGGTGTCTCCCAGGTGTGATGGGTTAAATGCTCTGAACTAATTTTGTCAACGTATGGGAACATACAATGATGACAACACAGAGCACTTTACTTATTAGGCCCGAGCAGCAAAGCGCTGAGAAGGCCTATTGTAATCGCTCTGTTCAGGCCCGAGCTGCAATTTTTTCTGTCAAATGAATTGGCATTGTGGGGGCCTTAACATATCTCAAAAGTCACCAAAATTGGTGGACGCATCAGGACTGGTGAAAAATTACGTATTTTAAGGACGTGGCAAAAATCGCAACACAAACGGCTCAAGAGCACCACCTGGAAATTTTCAAAATACCCTCCACATTAACCTTAGTTTATCGTAGAAACATGAAATTTGGAACGCTTGTCCAATCTCCCAAGATGCACAGAAAACCCTCTAGCACCAACGCTGTACGATAAACAGGAAGGTGGCCATTTTGGAATGCTGGCTCAATTTTCACACCTTTTTGGCGGTTTACAGCCTCCGCATTAGAACAAACTCCTCCTAGGGATTTCGCTCAATCGGTTTCAAACTTGGCCATTTTGATCAAAAGGTATGGGGGATGCAAAGTAATTTAAACGGTTCGTTTCGAGGCATGCTGGAGGGGCGGGGCCAGACCGAAAAGTTTGACATCTCGCAATGAAAAACGAAACACTAATAGCTCCTACAAGAAAACTGTCTGAGACATCAAACCTTAAGTGATTGATCCACATCCGGTCCCCTGCAAGACTGAATGGTCAAATCATGACATGACTTACACATCTCCTCCTCTCCTCTCCGTACACATCTCCCAAACGTAAATTAAGATTATGGATCTGGTATCCTGGACGTTCAACCCTATCGACAAGATTTTCTCAACAAAACGACAAGGTCCTGGAGAACCTGCCTTTCTAGCTGAGACGCACGCTGTGGGGTACGTCATGGACCCGTGGGGAGTGGCAGCTGATGTGCCTCTCAGTTCTGTCTCAGGAAGACACTGAAGACGTTTACATATTTGGATTTATGATTACAGGGACTCTGCTTTTTAGCATCGGCGGAGCTCTGTTTCATCAACTATTGAAGAAGACATCGGCAGCAATTTCGGCCATGACAAAGCTTCCGAGTCAGTCTGAAGGTTTGGTTCGTGCTGTGAGTAATCTAAATCAGCTGATTTATGAGCTAAACTGTAAGGTGGAGGCGATTCATGAGAATCGCAGGCCACCTGCGGCTTCTGGGACTCGTCAGCGTGGTGAGATTGACCTTGAAGGAGACTCATAACATGGATCAGTGGAATGGAATCCCACATTCAGGCCATTTTGGAACCAGAACGTTCAGATCGACTCAAGGCTGAAGAAAAAAGTAATCTGTCTGCCTGAAGAAAATCAACAATCAAGCTCATTTGAATCTGACTCCCCGACGGCCTAGGAGACGGGCAGATTATCAAATTTTTCCTGGGTCATGGGTAATCAGGGACAAAAGCTTCATCTATTGCAACCCCCCTCCCCCGGAGAACTTTATGCGCAAGCTTATCAGAACTGCTGGCTGAAATATCAGAACAATGGTCGATCTGAAAAACGCTCATGGACAAATCTCAACACCTCAACGTCAAATGCAAATGTAATTATGTTTTTAATTGTGCTGCTGGTAGAGTTTTTTTTGATGTCTCAAATCGTGTCCTGATAGACAAGATGTGAAAGATCTTTTTTTGTAATACCACTATCTACCCTCATGGTTCTCCCCCTTTTCATATCTAAGATTATTATTCTGAAAAAACATAAGAAAGGCCACGCTTATAGCAGCAGCTTCGTGCACTAGGTCCACCTTCCAGACAACTGAATGTACATGTTTTCGTTGTATTTTGGTGCAATGATAATAAAGCTTATTCTGATTCTGATGTCTTGAGATGTTGCTTCAGTATTTCCACATAATGTTCTTTCCTCATGATGCTATCTATTTTGAGAAGTGCACCAGTCCCTCCTGCAGCAAAACACCACCACAACATAAAGCTGATGGTGTTCTCAGGCTTTTTGCTCCAAACGTAATGATGGTCACATCTGAGACATGCGCTGTTTGTACCAACAGTTTTCGAGTGGGGGAAGTTCAGTGTGAGGGTTTAGCATGAGGGAAGAAGCTGTCATTAGCTTTTTAGCTAGCGTACCTGCATTGCAAGCCGCTAGTTTGGCATTACGTCAGTAAAGACAGGTGGTTTGGGTGTGGGGTTCGGTAGACGGTGCGCTCGGTTCTGTTGCTTGTATAATGGTAGGGGAAACACTGGTGTTGAAGGCAGACGTGAAGTCCATAAATAGCAAAGGAATGTAGGAGTCCTTCTGCTCCAGGTAGTGAAAGCAGTGCACCACCGAGAATTTTATTGGCTTCTCCAAGTTTTGAAGCAATGTTTAAATGTGTTTCAACATTTTTTTTCTTTAGTAGTGGAGTCTTGCATGGTGAGCATGCATAGATGACATGGTAGTTGAAGGCATTAACTACTGTTATTTTTTTTTTCATTCATTCAACCTTTATTTAAACAGATAAGCCACATTGAGCTTCAAAGACTCATTTACAATTGAGACCCGTTTGGACAGACAATAAAGAGGTGAAAAATGACACAGAGTTTGGAGACAAAAAAATTCCTAACACGCTTTTAACCTGTTTGAAGGTCAACAGTGTGATAATGAAAAAAAAAAAATCTCACACACAAGCACATAATGACGCCAACATTACGCAGGGGGTGGGGGACACAAGGGCGGTGAGCAGCCAGAGACAACACACAGAGGCACTGCAGAGTTCAGATAAAATCACTCAGTTCAAATAGTTCTCTCTGGAGAGATCCGTGCACACTCGGGGGGGTGCCGAGGATGACCAAAGACAAAATCCAAAGAGTCCTGAAATGATGACAGAATGTTTATTCAGCTGGGTTATGCTGAAAAGTCCATGGAAATTCCTTGGAAGGAGGGGAGGGAGGGACTGAGCATCAAGTTTACAAAACTTCCAGGCGGGTTGAGATAAGACGGCCTGTCAAGGCCAGTCAGTGAGCTGAATTCAGATAAACATGATTGTTTTGGGGACAAGCAGAACTTAATTCAATTCAATTCAATTCAAAAATACTTTATTAATCCCAAAGGGAAATTATTTGTTGTTGTAACTCGTTATCCTCATGTAATTAAGAGATGTTATAGATGCTGATGGCTGTAGACAGGAAGGATCTCTTGTAAAGGTGTAATGACATCTACCTTGAGTCTGTGTCAGTCCACTCGGTTCCAAAACGTCCAAATTAAATGACTATACCAATGGAACGTGCCTGAGAATAATCCCAGAGAGCTGATCCATTCTGACAAAATTCAAGTCTGGGTGCTCAAGGCACGAACCAAGCCATCATATACGGCAGGCAGCCTGACCAGGTCCAGATTTGCTGCCAACAACTTCCTTGTTTGTTGCTAGACCAGGAACCAGCCGACTCCAAAAAGCAGGAACCAGTTATCATAAATCCAATTATAAATGCGTCCTTAAAATCCGCAGATGACAACAGAGATAGACACGTCATCAAGTCTTCAAAGTCGTTGAGATATCCAGCTGCGTGCCAACAAGGCAAATCGGTTCGCCTTAAGCCTGTCTTCTCTTCAAAGAAATGTTATCAATTGTGTTGAGGGACCAACTGACCAAATCCAAGTCCATAGTTATGATTCAGAAGATTTGTAGAAGAGAGGCTCTAAAGCAGTTTCACAGACAGGACAGAGCAAAAGCAAAAAGGAGAGGGAGAGGAGGAGACAACTGCCCTTGAGAAGAGCAAGTGTGATTTATTTCAAAATCTTACTTCTAACCTACAAAACTCTCAACAACCTAGCTCCATTTTATATTTGAGATCTTAATGTTCCGTATTTTCCTAACAGAGCACTTTGCTCTCAGATTGCAGGTTTACTTGTGGTTCCTAGAGTTTTCAAAAGCAGAATAGGAGGAAGATCTTTCAGTTATCAGGCTCCACTCTTGTGGACCTAACTTCCAGTTCTGTCCGTGAGGCTGACACATTATCCAGTTTTAAGACTGGGCTTAAGACTTTCTTCTTTGATAAATCCTATAGTTAGGATTGGCTTGATATTCTGACCTATCCCTTAATTATGCTGCTATAGGCTTAAAATACTGGAGGATAAATTAACCTAATTTCATCAAATGAATAGTTACAAATGAATAATTCATATTTGTAATTATTTCTATCCTAACATGTTTTATTTACAAACCGGATTCCAAAAAAGTTGGGACACTAAACAAATTGTGAACAAAAACTGAATTCAATGATGTGGAGATGGCAAATGTCAATATTTTATTCGTAACATAACATAGATGACAGATCAAAAGTTTAATCTGAGTAAATGTAACATTTTAAAGGAAAAATATCTTGATTCAAAATTTCACAGTGTCAAAAAATCCCCAAAAAGTTGGGACAAGTAGCAATAAGTTGCTGGCAAAAGGAAATTGAGCA